CTTTGGTTACAGTACTGCCTTTTGAATTCTGAAACCTATGCACATATTTGAAATTTCAGACTGAGTTAGGTGCTGGGATACCTGTTGCTAATGCAATTTAACAACCATATTCAGGTGAACTGTTTTGCATTTTATCCTGTGAAAACATTGTGAAAGCACAGGAGAGGTCCCCTTGCTTCCCACTTGCTCCCTCAACCCCCCCCCCGCACTGAGTGGAGCAGTTCACATCCTGAGCATAATATAACTGCTGCTGTCTTAACATGGGCAGTGGGCAGTGCAAGACCCTGTGCAGCTCCAGTCTGCTGCTGAGTGGAGCTTCCTGTGTTAATGAGCAGCCGCTCACATGCACAGCTTAAAGGGAACACTGCCTAGATGACTCATGACACCAGGTTTCTTCTGGTTCCTGACAGCAGCCCACTATAAGGAAAGTTTTAAAGCATATATTGAGGCACACTTCAGCAGCTAAGCTCCTTTAGCCAGTATATCAAATAGACTCTGAGGCAGCTGAGACTGTTGGGTTGAGCAAATGAAGTATGTGCAATGAGAGGCAGCCCAGCAGACAAGAGAAATCTTACTGGCCGTCATAAGTTTGGGTGGGTTTGGAGAGAGTAATAAAAGCCATAGAGAGTAATAAAAGCCATAGAGAGCCAGAGACCAACCTGCCCTTCTCAGAGAGGCATGCTGAATAGATCCAGGGGGGAGGGGCTTGACTAGAGGTAGCGAAGCCAAATCACATCCCTCAGGGGAACCCTTTGAAATAGTAGGAGGATTGGGGCTCCTAGTAATTTGAGTGTGTTTTTCCTGTGTTTCTGGGTCTGCATTTGTGTTGGCTTATCTTTTTTGTTCCCTCCCACAGACGCTGTTCTGCTTTACTAACCTCATTCTCTCATATGTATTTTACATTTTGCCATGTAGGTTTTTCACAGCTTTGCAGCCCTAGGCGGGCATTCTCTGAACAAGGTCCGCTCCGCCTGATCCGGAGCGCCTCTTTCTTTGCAGGTTTGCTATGTGCTGTGTGGGTAGTCTAGTTGGTGTTACCAAGTTGAGCGGATTTTGCAGTTTGGCCTTGGAAATAAAATATGTTTTTAAAAAACCCTCAGAGATCAGTCCAAGTGGGATGGGTCAGAAAAGACAGTTGTAATATATTAAGAAACCCTGGCAATAATTTGCATAGGGCTTGCAAATCCCTGGCAACGCGTGTTTGTCATTAGATGTTCAGAGGTTGTTTTAATTTGAACTGTACTATAAAAAATATAATCTTTTGCCATTCCCATAAACCTGAAATAAGTTAATTTTTTTTTGCCTTGCAATAACTGGGTTTTATTTCCATGGCTGATTTAATTCCCCACCACCACAGATCGGAACAATTCATCACTTTTAAATTAATTACAATCAAGAGGCTTTTGACTTGGTTGATGGAATCCTAGCTTTGTTGAAGTCAGCATGGCTAGGATTTTACCTCTGTGCATAGTGAGGACTGGCTGCAAATGCAGATAGCTTCTGGCTTATTTGAAAAAAAAAAAAGTAATAGAAGTCCACTTACCTCCTGTTTGCCTTAGAGCACCCATAGTACAGCTGCTTTCTGTCAGTTTTTTTTTTTCTTTAGTCGCTGCTTGTAAATTGCATTGAATGCTTTTGCTCCATGGCTAACTTCCCTTTTGTTACCTTATTTTGTTTGCATTGAAATAAAGAGGTGGGCTTCAGCAAACTCTGACAGCTCATAAGGAGCTAGTGTTCTGGCTTGACCTGCTTTGCAGCCTTTCATGTCAGTGGGTGTGTGTGTGTGTGTGTGTGTGTGCGCGCGCTGTGCTGTCATTTTCAAACTTCTAAATGAATGCAACAAATTAGCATGATTTATTTGAACAATTAAATGGAGCACTACAAAGCTGAAGCGACTATTTTCATATTCTTATGCTAACTGGTGACCTTATCTTCATAGTTCACAGCAATCCTATGGATATGCCTGGGAGGGAGTTGAATGAAGACAGAGACAGCGGAATTGCAAGATCTGGTAATGTATTTATCAAAATGTAATGTCTCTAAATGAACTCCTCCTGCTATATTGTAATTAAAGTATTATCTGCTACTTCTTCTTGATCTCTCAAAATATAAGACCTTGGGCGTAGTTTTACTTCCACAAACATTTTTGATAAAATATTAGGAAGTACTGTATGCTGTATATATCAGGAAAGTGATATTTAATCACAGATCTTCAGTATGCAAAGGGAAATTTTTGTATACTCATTATCACAATTCTTTTTATGGCAATTTTATGTGTAAGGGATGCTTTTCAATTTCTGATTCTTTCTCACAACAACTCTTAGACTGGGTCGCTGCTACTGAGGATTTTATAGAGTACTGGCTAAAGGTTGGATCCTGCAGTCTGCCTGGTGCAGGGGTTGCAGATCTTTGCACAAGGATTGCAGATCTTCTCTGCCAACCCAACAAGTTGTATTTCATGCTCCTTGGGGCACGTTGTATTGGATTAGGGTTTTAAATATAACCAAAAATGGCAAGCTGAATACATAGACCGGCCTTTCACACATCTAGGGTTGCCAGCCTCCAGGTGGGGCCTGGGGATCCCCTGGAATGACAACTAATCTCCAGACTACAGAGATCAGTTCCCCTGGAGAACATGGCTGCTTTGGAGGGTGGGCATTATAGCGTTATACCTGGCTGAAGTCCCTTCCCTCCCCAAACGGCAAACTCCCCAGGCTCCACCCTCAAATCACCAGGAATTTCCCAACCCGGAATTGGTAACCCTACACACATATCTGTTCAGGGAAGAAGACTGATACTCTGCCTACTGTTGGCATCAAAACATAGATGCAAAATTCTGTTTTGAGAAATGTTTTGAAAAGTTTTATTTAAAAAGGTCTTTCTCCATTTCTTCTTTGTAACAGCATCTCTTAGCAGCCTGCTTATCACTCCGTTTCCCTCTCCGGGCTCTTCGCTAAACAGAAGCTGTGCTAGCAGTTACCAACGGCGTTGGCGACGCAGTCAGACAACCAGCTTGGAGAATGGGGTCTTCCCTAGATGGTAAGTTGTACATTATGACTGACAGGAAGCACATCTTTCAGATTCACATATGACATTGGTTTACTTATTTGGATGGATACCTCCTTAATGCCTAGGTCTGTTTTCTAAAACTCTTGCAAGTTCTTTAATGGTCTACTATGTATTGAATTGTAAAGGTTTTGTATTTTAATATATGTATAATTTTCCATTCTGAGTTTGTTGGATGTAACTTTTAAATTCTAGAACTTATACTAGAGATGGGGAGGAGGACTAGAAATTTAGGTGAATCTACCCCATTCCCAGCTGTATCAGTATGACTGCTTTTCATGCATTTGAAATAAATCTTGATTTACATGGATCCAAGTTTAATTAGAATCAACTTCTTAGTCTAGTTTTATTTATACCTTCATAATATTCATTGTGGCTCATGGGATAAAATTAGGAGGCAATGTGTGAAATAATATAGGAAAAAGGAACAAGTTACCATGTGGTAATCCTAACATATTTACAGCCAATGATTTGTGATCAGTCTGAGATCACATGACTGATCAAATCACAGAATAGCCTGATATATGAATATATGATTGAACCACATGATAAACTGCCAATATCAACTGTCAAAGGATGACCGTAGCTATTAAAGGACACCTGTGGGCCTTAAACACATAAAACCAAACCCAAAGTGTTTGAAATAGATTCACACTATGAAAGAGATAGAGTGCTTCTTCTTTTGTTTAAAAAAATATATCCTATTAATAGCAAATGTCTGGTAGAACCTCTACAAATACCACCTTGTCACCAAAGCCTTATTTATGTGCTTTAGAATTAATTCTGTGGATCAGCTATACCAATAAAGATGGTATTTTACTCATAACTTAATATGTTGAAATTCTAATTATGCAATAGCTGGAAGCACTATGGAAGTAATTCCTTGCACCACCTTTTATTTTCTTGAAGGTCTGTAGAAGAAAGCTTTAACTTGTCAGATGACAGCTCCAGCCCAAACCCAGGAATTGTCAGGAAAAAGAAAATAGCTATTGGGGTGATATTCTCACTTTCAAAGGATGAAGACGAAAACAGCAAATTTCATGAGTTCTTTTTCTCACACTTCCCTCTCTTTGAGAGTCACATGAACAAATTGAAGAGTGCAATAGAGCAGGTAAATATTGCCACTGCCTCCTCTTTGAGTCGATATTCTCATCTTAAATACTATGTAGTATGGATAGGCCAAATTAATTTGTGGTTTGGGGATTGTACCAAGGGCTGCTTGGCCAAAGTGTGGATGAGGCAAGAATGGAGCTCAAGCAGTTCTAGCTTTGGGAGGGAGCCTAAGCTTGGTAACACACTTTGTACATGATCAGTTCAGTCCCCAGCATCTCCAGTACAAGGATCTTGTGTAAGAAGGCTATGAGAAGCCTCTGTCTGTAGCTTCAGACAGTTGCTGTCAATCAAAGCAAACAATACCATACAAGATAGGCCAATTAGCCTGATGCATAATAAGAAAGCTTCATACATCCATATAGTTTCTTATCCCAAATCAACAATTCCATTATCTTGAAAATTCATCTTCTATCTTACTTTTTCATATCATGGGTTAGAGATGTAAAATTTCTGGAAATTTTGAAGCTTGGAAAAAACTCCGTTTTTTTCTGGGTTTTTTCGGGAAAGACGGAAATTTTCGGAAAAATTGAAAAAAATGCTACATTAGCATTTCTTTTGTCTTTTCTAGATTGAAAGTCATTCTGTTACTTTAGGAACATAAAATATGACTATGGACATTTTTACTTGGCATGAAATTATCACAACTAGCATATTAAAAATATAGTGTATCCAAACAATTATTGCAAACAGAATACCCACCCACATGCAAAAACAAAACTGAAACTTTTATTTTCTTCTGACAATCACACCTCCTAAAGGAAGAAATGCATCTTGTTCTTGCATTGGAGAGTTCAGTTTGTAACCTAGGACTTGCTTGTCCTCAGTGCACAGAAATTAGATCAATCTGATACCATATATATATATATTTGAACACCTTGTCTTAAAATATTTTATTCATCATGTTAAAATAAAACGTTCCATAATCAATGTTTTTCCCTTTTCTTTTTTTTTTTCAATTTTTCGGAAAAAACAACCAGGCCTTCACATCTCTAATCATGGTCCGAGAATACTGTGAGATAATGCCTTTGCCTACCCGAAGTAATGGGTGATATACCACTTACCTAGGAGAGGAAGGATACGTAGAGCAGTCCCTTGCTTCCCCCTGTGATGCAGGCACACCACATAATGGTTGTCTGGTTTGTGTAATTCTTCCCCTAAAAGAGTAAGGTGCAGTTGGGCACAGTCTGATGCTGGGTTGAGAGCTTGCATCACTTGTAATATCATCGGGGGGGTGGTAGAAAGACAAATTTGTCACCAGTTTGAGATTTAGACACTGAATCATTATGGAAGACTTTGGGCCTCTCTCTAGCTTTTTGCAAGTAACAGTACAGAAAAGAAAGACAATGCAAATACATGTGTCACACGTATCTCTTTTGATATGAAACTTGGCAAGCGACCAGTGTTTATCATAGGCAAACACATTTTTTTTACTATCAGGGTGCACCTTAGATATAGCATAGCACATGACTTTGTTTTTCATTTTCTGTTGCCATACCTGATGCTGGTTATCTGTTAACGATTGTTTTCAAGGCTATGAAAATGAGCCGCCGATCAGCTGATGCCAGCCAGCGCAGTTTGGCATATAACAGGATCGTAGATGCCTTAAATGAATTCAGGTGAGTTTGTGTCCAATATTTTGTTGCCTGGTATTTGACTGCTTCTCTTAGTACCAGCTTCAGAATTCAAGCCTGTTACCTGTCATCTGAGATGTGTAGGAAGTTGTTGGGACAGGGTGGGTAATGATAAGAGCATTGAGCTTGAACACTGAAAACCAGGTTCAAATCCTGGATCAGCTATGAAGTTCTTCAGGTGACTTTGGGCATGTTACTTCTCTCAGCCTAGTCAACTTCCCAATTGGGCCATGAAGTCCTGTAGTGGATTGGTGGTGGAAAGTGCTGTCAAGTCACAGCTGACCTATAGTGACCCCAGTAGGGTTTTCAAGGCAAGAGATGTTCAAAGGTGGTTTGCCATTGCCTGCCTCCACATCAGGACCCTGGATATCCTTGGTGGCCTCCCGTCCAAATCATGTCCAAGCCCTACCCTGCCTAGCTTCTGATATCAGACGAGATTGGGCTAGCCTGGGCTATCCAGGTCAGGGTGGGAATGGCGGATGACAAAGGGGAATAAAATGTTCAAAGAGTCAGACAGCGGAGGGGAGGATTGACTTTCAACTATGTGAACCTTATTTGGTGGTGAAATAATCAACTATAGGGCATTTCCCCTATTGTGTATCATGAAAGATGTGGAAGAATAAAATGTTGTGTTGGATCACTTTTGTTGAAGAATGGGATTTCCATCACTGGAACAGGACTTCCTCACACCTCCCCTCCTCTTACAGCCTGAGATGCTGATACTATGGGACAGGGCACCCTAATGAACAGTCTGACTGCAGATAAGGAGTTTGGTTAAATTTGCCACTCCCTCTCATTAGCAAAAATTTACTGCTGGGTATGGCTATTTCAAATAATCCAAACTCACTTCAGTCAAGGGATAGCTGTATGTGGCTTCAATCTGGAGAACCAGGTTTGATTCCCCACTCCTCCCTATGAAGCTTTCTGGGTGACCTTGGGCCAGTCACAGTTCTCTCTGAACTCTTTCAGCCCCACCTACCTCAGCACGGTGCTTGTTGTGGGAAGAGTAGGGGTGTGCTCTATTGGACCCCTTCAAAAATCCAGTATTTCTGAAAAATCCTGGATCCCAATACCAGTATGGTACTCTGATCTGAGATTTTTCAGAAATTCCAAACTTTTT